ATATATTAATTTTGTTTGATCTCACCACAGCCTGTAAGGTAGAAGTACAAATACTGCCTTTTCATTTCTAAATTATGGGTGAAGAGCTGGCATTAGAGATGGAATTAAAACTAGATCTTCTGATTCAAACTCTTCTGTACTTTCCATTCTACCAAATCATCTCCATTTTTTTTCAATTACATTGTGTTTTAAGTAGCTCCTTCAGCCAAGAATTTACAAACCTCAGTTTCATTTCCTGTTAACAGCTATTTACTAAATTCAGTACCCTATTGTCAAATTATTCTGGAGAAATATTCATACTATAGTTGCTTCTTTGGGATTTAACATTTCTAATGAGGAATCTCAAGTAATTCTACTTAATAGAATACATAAAATTTCCCCCTTTCTCCTTTTTTTCTTTTTTTCTTTCTCTCTCCTTCCTTCCTTCCTTCCTTCCTTCCTTCCTTCCTTCCTTCCTTCCTNTCCATTTTGAGTTGATTTTAATATATGGTGAGAGGTGCATGTCTAGTTTCATTCTTCTGCGTATGGATGTACAATTCACAGAGGGATAAATACCACATGTCCTCACTCATAAGTGGGAGCTAAGAGAGAAAGAAGGACAGAAAGAGAGACCACAGTGGTGTGTTGGACTTGCAGAGGGAGAGAACATACCAGGGATACAAAGTGGAGTGGGCGAGAGGGAGGGAGGTTGTGGATAATTGGGTGAGGCACACGGGGTACAAACGCAATTTATGATAATGGATATGCTGCGAGTGTGGATCTGGCCATCACCTCTTGGGCACCAGTGGTGACAATCAGCCTTGTACCCCATGAATATTCATAACCAATAAAAAATATTATAATAATTCTTGGATCTATTTTATGTTTTATTTTAGTCAGGCAGAATAATTAACCGCTTTTAAATAATAAGTCTATCTCTCAATAAGAGAACAAAATACTAACACTTCAAAATAATATGTTCATTTAGTGTTTTGGCATGATGTGGTTGTTACTATTTCACTAGCTTTCAATGCTCAAACTGAGGGATGCTAAATGATGATTTCAGGCATATATTTGCATCCTATGGTTTTAAAAGTTTAAGGAACATATGGTGATATATTAATTTTGTTTGATCTCACCACAGCCTGTAAGGTAGAAGTACAAATACTGCCTTT